GAGGTAACAGGGTGATGTTTAAGGAATCACAACCTTCTGGTTCCAACCAGTCTGGGGTCTAGTGCTTGTGGTCAGCATGTAGTCACCATCCTCCCTCCACCTGGGTGGGAGTCTTAGTTTCTATAGAACAACTCAAAGATATGCATCAGATTGTTATCTATATCCCCTGAGGAGGCACTAGGAGGCCTGTGACTCTGTTGTCCTAAGAGTTAACTGCTTGAGTCTGCTCTTTGGAACTCAGGGAAGCCTAGGAGACTAAAGCCTTTTTCTACAAACAAGAAACGGGGGATGTGGAGGGGCTTTTTTGTACGTAGGAGGGCCCCGAAGGGTCTTGCTTGGTTTCAGTCCCCCCTTTTCTTTGATACTCCTCAGTCCTGAGGGGAATGGGGGCGGGACAAGAAAGGGCATACAATTTTGGATGGAGACGTTAATCATAAACTTGGCAGGGGGTTTAGGGGGGCTCGGTTTCAGTGTTGAGCCTAACACACAGTAGGTATTCAACAAGTGATAGTTGTTTCTGTGTATCTCTCTCTCACTGTTTTCTCTCCTTTCAGTAGAGAACCTGTGCCTTGTAAAGTTTAACTGTGCTGTTTTGGAATTCAGGTTTTTATATGGCAGATTTCCATGAAGAAAATATATAATTATTGATTGAGTTGTGCTGTTAGAATTCGAATTAGGTTCATAACAAATAGGAACACTGTATGATAAACTTGCAAACAGAACAAAGCCAAAAATTGTACTTGCTATCCCCTTGTTCAATCTGGCCCTCTCTTTCAAATTAATTAGATATTTGGATAACTATGCTAAACTTTGTCACATCCTTATTAAAATTGTTTAAGCATTTTGAAGAACATCTCAGAGGGACTCTGAAACAAATCTGAGTCTGGTACTGGAGATTCCATTAGCAATCACAAAACTGATTAATCTTTTACTCAGTTAGCTTATTGATTATTGCTGCAATTACTGCATGTAATGGATTCTACAAGGGATACCAGAGAAAACATGTTTTATAACTGCTGCTGACGTGTTCAGTTTGAGTGCAGACGTGTTCGATTTGTACTTGTTATATATAACCAGTTTTGTCTTTTAAAATTCCATAACACTTCTACTCAGAAAGTGCTGTGCTTAATATTGTTTCACTACTAGGAGGTTCACTTTTAAATTCCTCAACTACTAATCATTACAGTTTACAAATGCCTTCACTAATTCTATTGGCTGCAGTTTAATTTTGAGCTTCACAGTAACCCTATGTAATAGAGTTGGTATCTTTACCCTCATTCAGAGGAAACTAAGGTTCAGTGAGGTTAAATGACTTCCTGAAGACTATACAGGTTAATAAGTGGCAGAATCGGGATTGGACTCCATTTCAATCGGTAAATATTTGTCAAACACCTACTATGTGCAGGACTTTGTGTTAGGGGTAATGAAAGCCAGGATAGGATTATACAGATTAAGCTAAGAAGCTTTTTGGATAAGGTCAAATTATGGCTCCATTAATGTTACCATGGTCACTTTGTTACTTTTCTGTCCAAGCCATATTAAGTATATTGGCGTAAAAGATTTAGATTTTTGTTTGGTTTCGTTGGTTGTCTTTTCATTTTGTTTTTATCTAGTGGAAGTCTTGTCTTTGTCATTATTGCTTATTTTATCAGTATTTAGAGCAAAATTGGGAAGATCCCCTTAAAGGGAGAATATATAAAACCTTGAGAGAGAATGAAGGTGTAAAAAGAACTTGCTTTGCAGCTTATTAAGTGTTCTCATGTTTTCTCATGTGAGTTTCACAGTAATCCTGTGGGTCATACCACCTTCATTTTACAACTGAGTAAACTGAGGTGAGGTGAGCATTTCTTCACTGAGATCATCATCTAGAAGTGGCCAGTACTGAGACCCCAGGGTTTGAGCCTGTAACGCCTCTAAGTGCATTGCTCATCTCACTGGGCAGCACAGGCCTTGTGGCTCATCAGGACTGCTCTGTGCCAGGAGGGTACTGCACATGGCCCATGTTTTATTCTTGTTTCTTAAGGAATGCCTTGTGAGCAGTGGCCTGAGCTCCTAGGCCTAGTGCCTCCTTGATGGCCCCCCGACCCTCACCAGGTCCGCTCCTGAGAGGTCAGTTGCCTAGAGTGGACCCATGCCATGGGTTTAATTACCACCCTTCATAGTTTGTCCTTGATGGTGAATTACTTTGGTGTGCGAAACACAAAATTCTCTGTTAATACAAACACAGATCAAACCCAGTATTTTAGCAGAAGAAAATGTTCCTAGGATTTGGAAGAATTGTACAAAACAAAAAACAAATCCTAGCTACTTGCTTTGGAGAAACTGTCAAGTGGCATACTTAACATCATTACCGTGGCTGTGTTAATTACTGCACAAATAGATGTTTTTAGATTGCTAAAAAGTTCCTGCAATGATTATAAAAGTGTATATAGTTTCCCAGTTGATTTGAAATGAAAGGGAAACCATTTTTATTTATATATTTTGTGAGGTAAATAAATAAAGTTGGAAAACAGGTCAATTTCATGCATGCAGGGTTTTATAGTAGGAAAAAAATGCCTTGCACCTGTTCTGACCCTTTACATTTGAGGTTATTTGTTTTCAAACTTGACCCCCAAGCGCCAGTTTCACACAACTCTGTAAATAATTTGTTAGATAAAGCATAAGGATATTTTATTTGTTTTGATTTCTAGGATTGTGGTAAAGTAGTAACTGAAATTACTAACCTATTGTACATAGCAGTTAATTAAGGAAAAGCATTAACTATAGGAGAACACCACCACTGCTGTTGTCTTGTGTCAGTATAAAAAGGTAGTAATTTTTTTGACAGCCACTGATTGGAAAGTTGCTTGCAGCCTTCCAGAAGCAAGAGGGTACATGCTGTGGATCAATAACCGGCAAATTTCCCATTAAAAAGAATACCTGAGCAATGTTCCAAATAGCCACTGGCATCTTAATTTTCCATGAAACCTCAAATACTTGTGTGCTGAGGACAAGTCATTTTCGGACAATTTTTCCAGACTACTTGTTAACAGTTATTGCTGTCCCGAAAGGTTGACAGCCTACGTGATTGATATTTCATTTACTTGTCATCACTGCTTGAGTAATGGCAGTGATTTTAAGGAACATAGTTTCCTGAAAGACATTTGCCTTAGTATGTATTCCAGAGAGCGTATCACACATGTTTATGCTTTATGTGTATACGTTTTTACATCTATAGAAGGAGAGGATCAGTTTCCTATACAGTTTGAATGTCCTCAGAAGGCAGGGTATACTTATATCAGTCCATAGCCATCAAAAATACACTTTCACTTCGTTTTTAGGGTGAAGAGCCTTAGACTTGTTAACTTGTGATTCTAAAGATGATGAAGAATTTTATAACTCCCCTTTATTTATAAGGGAAAAATAAACTTGATCTTGTAATAATTTTAATTATTACATAAAAGCAATAGAAAGATATATGTACGTATTTTTTAGAAAGAAACTTTTAAAGAATGTCAGCAAATAATGATTATCAAGGAGGAATTTTCTGAAAATATGATAGTTAAGTAGAAAATGTGCTTATGTTTTTTAATATAGAAACAACAAGTATTAAAGGGGAATTCTGCTCTGTGACAGCCCCTCACAACACAAAATCAGTGGTTTTCATTGTTGATATTTTCCACCAAGAACATCACTGTTGTTTGTCAAGTGTTAAAAAAAAGTTAGGGCAAGGACTTCCCTGGCTGTCCAGTGGTTAAGACTCCGTGCTTCCAGTGCAGGGGACGCAGGTTCAATCCCTGGTCAGGGAACTAAGATCCCACATGCCATGTGGTGCAGCCAAAAAAAAAAAAGAGGGCACAGAAGCCACATGCAAGTTAGGTGGACATATGCTCACCAATTAGCATATTAAAGAAAATGGGGATAGACCGTAATACAGCCTACTGAATGAACTTGTTTATGATGGAATATGAAAGCTTTTTGAACTTGGAACTTAATTTTTCATGCCCAGATTTTTAAAGTGAAATTTGATCTATACTAAAGTATTTAGAAGACTAAAACTTGAAAGGTATGTTTGCTTGAAACTGGGCTATCTTTTTATCATATTAATCCTGTCATCTTTGGATGGATCATATCTTGTTTCCTTGTTCCACAGTCTCTGTGATTTTGATTTCCATTATCTGTACATTTTATACACAAATATGAATAATGTTTGATTAACTGACTGGCGTATAGGTCCAAGCTAAATGTGAGGTGTCTCCACTTTGCTTTGTAAAATCCAGGGAAAAAGAACAAAAGGCAGTTTGAGAAATTTCTACTAAAATGCTTTTTGTGTCATTTTAATTTATTTAAAAATTATTTTTTATAAGATTCTTTTTTTTTTTTTTTTTTTTAATATATAATATTAGAAATTCAGTTGAAGATTAATAAAAGTATATTTATAAAAACTATTTTCTCCAAAAGCAGAAGTTAACATCAATATTTTTATTGCTGAAAGTTAAATCCCAAACCCTCAATATAGTTATTCATATTTTAATTGGCTTGAAAAATGTCTGATCATTTTTTTTTTTTTTTTTTTTTAATGTGGACCGTTTTTGTTTTATGTTTTGGTTTTTTGGCCATGAGGCATGTGGGAATCTTAGCTCCCCAACCAGGGATCGAACCTGCACCCCCTGCATTGGAAGGCGAAGTCTTAACCATTGGACCGCCAGGGAAGTTCTTGTGTCATTTTAAGTATATGTCATTTTCAGAACATTTCTAGAGATCAGATACTAACGTAAAATCTTAATCAACATTTTTTACTCTTAAAGGTAAATGGCAATATGGAGGATAACACTATACTGGACTTTTAGTCCTGAGTATTCACTATAGTCATATTGATGTGCAAAGAGGGAAAAAGAATTCTCGAGGCTGATATGTATATACCAGTAATTTACAAAAGTACTATGAATTAAACAACCCATAAGTGTCTGTTCCAGTATTCATACATTACTGAGTAATCTCTTTCTATAATCTCTTTGCAGTATTATTCCACAGTAATGGAACAGCAAGTAAATGGACAGTTAATAGAGCCTCTGCAGATATTTCCAAGAGGTAATGTTGAACAAATTCTAATCAACAATGATTATTTCAGTAAACTGTTTCATCAACAGTTATGTTTTCCAAAGGTTTAAATGCAGATAACGTGATGTTTAGCTCTTAATTTGAAAAAACAAAAGAAGTATTCATTATCGTGGGGATTGCAGGCTGTATTATAGTTATGGCAGATAGAATATCTAATTTGCTAGAGTAAATTAAACTAACTAGATTGGTTTTCGTTTTTGAAGTACATACTTACATTCGCTTAAAGAACTCTTTGGGGGTCCACATGGTTTCTAAACCAAGGCAAATGGATGACTTTAATTTTGGATATTTATAAATTGTGGCTCGTGATGGTAGCCAGAGCTGCTATTGAGTAGAAAGCTTTCAGCTAGTGCAGAAACCAAGATTTACTGGGGGGTTTTAGGAGCGATATTTTGGTGGAATGTTTGGTGCTTGATTTTGGGGGGAGACATTTTCTAAATAATTGAAAATCCTCATAAATAATTTGATTGTTAAGTTTCCAAAAATATGAGCTAATGAGAGTGACCCTTGGTGAATCACCTGGTTAAATCATTTGTTTTCCCCTTTAGGTTTGATAGTACTAGCCTTGTATCAGATATGATTGCTCAGCTCTATATAAATGTTCCCTGAAAATTTGAATAATGGTAAAAAAGAACAGTTTAATTATATAAACCATTAAGTCTTTCACCCATTATACATTGCCCCACTTGGAAATCTGTGTTTTCTAACTGATGGAACAGATAAGAAAATTCTCTAAGTAAGTCTTCTAGAAATAGCTTAATTGAAATAATTAAAAGTTAAACGTACCTTCGTTAACTGATACTGTACAAATAATCATGGTATGGGTTTTCCAATTAAGCATTCTAGACTTTCATTACCTGTAACTCTCTGAAGTTTGAATAGCTCAATTAACCAGTAGACTCCTATTTGCACTGATAGTCTCCAGCCCATGAGAAGATCTGGGTTCAAGAGTAATACTGTTCTTCTAGCATTAACATGGGCAGTGGGATTAGGAGTATTTAGTACATTATTAATAATAACTTATTAAAGACCTAAGTAAGTAAGTAAAATTGGGCCATTGATAGCATGTCTGAAAGAAGATTATGATTATTTCAGTTCTGTTGCACCTGAAGACTAAAAACTAAAAAAAAGAGGGCTTCCCTGGTGGCGCAGTGGTTGAGAGTCTGCCTGCCGATGCAGGGGACACGGGTTCGTGCCCCGGTCCGGGAAGATCCCACATGCCACGGAGCGGCTAGGCCCGTGAGCCATGGCTAGTGAGCCTGCGCGTCTGGAGCCTGTGCTCCGCAACGGGAGAGGCCACAACAGTGAGAGGCCCGCGTACCACAAAAAAAAAAAAAAAGAAAAGAAAATGTTGCCATTTCTGTGTATTAAGCCAAGAACAGGGTGCAGATTATTTCTTAATATTTTCAATAACCACAGAATTTGGGCAAGTTTCAAAATTGTTTCTCCACAAGGAGTATTTTTTTTACCAGCTGAAAATTTCCATTCATTGCTTTCCTACTGGATGACTTTATAGCTCTTTTGTAGCAAACCCCAGAAAGTATCCTGGAGAATTATAATTCTAATGCTGAGGGCTTTCATTTTTTCTTTTTTTCCAGAAAGTATTTACTTCTGTTCATCCAGAATCTTTCTAAGTTCTGTTTGTTTTCTTTTATCTTGTGAACAGCCCCTGTCAGTGTCCCTGTCCATATCACTGTGCCCCTCCCATGATAATAACAGCCATTTTTAACCATCTTCTCTGTTCAGACACTAATATTGCTTTGTGTGTCACCATTTCTAGTTCTCCCAACAGTCATGCCTATTATTATTGCTTCCATTTTATACTTGAGAATATTAAGGTTCAGAGACGCTAAGTAACTTCAGAGTCACAATTTTTAAGTGGTTAATATACCCTTTGAATAAGAATTTTGTTTAAGTTGTAATTTGCTTAGAGTAGAAGGGCTATATGCTCTTAAGTAGGTTAAAATATTAGTAGAGTGTGCATGGGGGTAGTTTGGAGGGCTTGGTAGGAGTGTGGAGAAGAGTATATTGTAGGGAGGAGATTCTTAAAGAAAATATGTGACATTTGAGTGTCGCATGTAGTCCTAGGACAGGACCTATTAGTCTCCAATAAATTTTTAAATACAGTTGTTCCACGCCAAATTTAAATTTTTTAAAATATGAGACTCAGTCTCCCTATCTGTGTGGTTTTGTGCATACTGTTACGTCTTTAGTTTTCTACAGTTGTTTGCTTTTTGCTTATTTATCTACACAAAGTATAGATTTTATGCAATTTTATTTTTCATGTAATTTTACATAAATCTCTAAATATATATAAAATTTTATGTAAGATTTATATAAATTTAGAGGTTATACAGATTTTTACAGTTAGAGTATAGACATTGGGTATATTGCCTGGGTCTACTGAGTTGGTTAGAGGCTCTCAGACCTTAGATTCTTAGATTCTGTGGTCAGGCCCCATGTGAAAAAGAATCTCTAGACTGAGCAAATCAGAGGACAGGAGAAAACAATTCTCTTCTAACATCAGGTCTTCTCATTCCAAGTGGCACAATTGCATTGGATAGTAGCTCCCAGCTCAGGGCTAATTCTCTTTGTAGTTATAAGATATGTTAACTATTAATAAGTATGAAAATTCACTAGCTTTACAGTAACTTCTGACTCCACAACTTTAGGAAATATGAGGCTACTGGGTTTTTTTGAATACTGTTTACTTTTTATTTTATTTTTTAATTAATTAATTTTTGGCTGCATTGGGTCTTCGTTGCTGCGCGCGGGCTTTCTCTTGCGGTGAGTGGGGGCTACTCTTCGTTGCGGTGCGCGGGATTCTCACTGTGGTGGCTTCTCTTGTTGCAGAGCACAGCCTCTAGGCACGTGGGCTTCAGTAGTTGTGGCACTCGGGCTCTAGAGCGCAGGCTCAGTAGTTGTGGCACCTGGGCTCAGCTGCTCCGCGGCATCTGGGATCTTCCAGGATTAGGGCTCGAACCCGTGTCTCCTGCATTGGCAGGTGGATTCTTAACCACTGCACCACCAGGGAAGTCCCTTGAGTACTGTTTAGATTTCCAGTCATAAAGATTTAAGAAGCCAGTTGAGGAACGAGGCAGATGTTAAGGTAGGAGATAAGAGTTGATGCCCGTCTCTTAATTCCTTAGTTAGCCACTTTCTTACTAAATGAAGTTTATAATGCACTGGCTACTTCAGAGGAAATGCTCTGAAGTGTTGTCTTAGGAAGTATTAATGGTCCCTAAAGGACCAAGCATCAGATGTATGTGACTATTGTTTTGTTCAAAAAGTTAATTTCCATCTTTAGGAAAGAGGATTTGGAGTCTTAATTTTAACATATTTTAGAAAAACAAATAAAAATCCTTTATTGAGGTTTAGATTTTTTTTTAAGGAAAATAACATAATGACTTTGAATATATTCGAAATACACAAACCTAAAGCAACTGATGTGCTTTGTAATTATTAGCCACATCTTCTTATTAAACAGCTCTATTTCTTGTCAGAAACAGAGGAAAATACATGTACCTCTGAGAAAGGAGCAAAAAAAAAAAAATCAAATTCATCCTTTCCCGAACAATCAATCAAAATTGACCGCCCCCTAACATATAATATGTAGGGCACTGTAGTTTTCAGATGGAAGCAGCCTATAACATGGGCAGGAAGCACTTTATTTTTTGAAACATTTGATGAAGAAGCATTTGCTGAATTGGAAAAGTACTAACCTGTAACTCAAGATGGTGTCAGGAAATTAATATTCTTTTCGCTGGTACTGCTTTATGTTTAGACTTAAATGTTAGCAAATGTCAAGATTTGCAAGAAGTGTCATGAAATTAATGGTATATCTGTATTCTAACAAATTTGACTGCTTAATGCTTTGCAAACTGATGTTCAAACTTAAATATTTCATCTTAGAATCTCTAGCAATTGTTTTGGCGGTAAAATATCCTCCTCCCACTCCCCTCCAAAAACCCCAGCTATTTTCATTGTAGTCTTAAGTGATAACAGATATACAATGTAATAGAGTGAGGAAAGATGATGGCAGAAATTTGAATTATGAAAGAAATCTAATCATTTTAGCTCAGTTAACTTGATTTTTATATGTTTTAAGCAGAAATTGGAATTTATATGAGGTGGTGTCAGAAAGCTCTTTGCATTTATAAATGCTCACTCCTGCAAGTTAAAAACCCTGGTTCATAATTCCCACTTTGGGTCTTGGGAGCCACTTTTCAATCATTTCTCTCTGCTAATTTTGGTGTCACCCTCATTTCTTTTTAAACGATTCATTTTGAGCAAATTTGTAAATGGCCCTGATGTGTTCTACAATTTAGTCAATTACTGTTTCAGCCTGCAAGCCTCCTGGGGAACGGAACATACATGGCCTGAAGGTACGAATTTCAATAATTGTTTCAGTAAAGTTAGATGGATTTGTAATGCTGTGTTCCACTTATTGAAATGTCAAATAAAACTGCACTTTCTCAAGCTGTGACAAGCGTTCCTTTTTTTTTTTTTTTAATGGGATGTGGAGGGGGATTCATTAGTATTTGTTCAATATGTGTACAAATTGGGGTTTTGATGCCGTATTTAAAAAAAATTATTATTATTTGGAATTCTTTTGTTGGTTTGTTTCTTCAGGATGATCCTGGGTACTGGTCTCCACAAAGATTTACTTGAGTAAAAATATAGACTTCATTTCAGTGATTAATTAAGCACATAAGCATATTGCACACAGAATACCCCCCTCTTCTTTTGACATGTTTATGCTAGAAACATATCTATTTAATGTCCTTTCATTGTTCTGCATATTTTGAATTCTGGATTTCTGCTTAAGGCTTTACATTTAAAAGAAAAACTGGCTATTGTATTAGACTCAAGCGTTTTATAATTAATTACTTGGACCTCATTTTTCAGTGAATAAGAAACATTCTGCAGTGTTCTGCCTGGTTTTAAAGCTGAAGGGGTATGATACCGTGAGGTTCACTACTAACCCTTGGATGTATTCTTAATATACTTTTTTGAACATACTGTTTTTTATATAAAACAAAAAGAAACAGTGAACTGAATTTGTTCACTAGAGTTGAATTCAATTCTAGACAGTGAATTGAAAATGTCCCCAGTTTATCTCTCCCTTTTTCAGCACTATTTAAGTATTTGAATAATGACAGGAACAAAGTATTATGTAATATACAGGTTGTACAGTTTTTATAACCTATATACTGAATAGACTCCAACCATGGGTCTGTCTAGTAAAAAGCTAATTAACCTTCATAGTGAAATGAGAAATTTGTGGCAAATTACAGGTTAATTAGAACTGTGTCCTCAGAACACAGACTGATCAAGATACTTTCTTTACTTGTAGGTGAATACCCGGGCTGGATCCTCTCAACACAGCAGCCCAGCAGTCTCAGATTCACTTCCAAGCAATAGGTGAGCGCGAGCGAGTGACTTGTGCCTCTGAGCGTGAATATCTACATAGTTGGGAGTGAAGAAGAGGCTTGTGGGATGGCATCTCTTTTTTTAATAAGACCTCAAAAGTGTGTATGTGGCTAAGAAGAAATCTGACCAGTTAAGTAACCCTAGCTATGTATTGACTGAAAAGAAAGGACCTCATAGAGAAAGATAAAATTAGACATGTTGAACCATTTATTTTGGTCTGTGGAATGGTTTTCCTTCAGTCTCCAGATGATGCAGAAACAGAAGATTCAGTGCCTTTGACTGTTTTCATGCTTTGATGATCTGGTTTGTATAATGCTTATTATTTTTGTCTTGCTTGTCCATCTTTTGGCAGTGTCATGCTTCACTGACATCTTTCCCAGAAGGAGGCAAGGAAAGAGTAATGTGGTGAAATTTAAATTGACCAGCCAAGTTGTCCATTTATGTATCTTTGGTGCACAAGAGATTGAGCTATTACAGAAGGAAGATAATTTTCATTAATTCATGCTAACACTGTCCCATACTGGGATGGATACTAAAGACTTGAGCCTCTTCAAAGTGTTCGTCTGACAGGCCTGAGAACTTACTTCTAGAAGATTAAGGTTCTCAAGTAGAAGGACCTGCTTAAGCTGAAAGAATTCTAGATCATATTTGTTACATATTCAGTTATTCAGCTGGTTAACATCTTATTACTGTACTTGAAGATGACACTTGAAGGTGATTGCTCTGTGTGTATGGATTCACACTGGTGACTGAAAAGCCATCATTGAGCCAGATCACCCTTCCATTGTGTGCCCAGGTCTTTCTGGGTTTAGGGCAGTAGTCAGTGTTTGCACAGCCCTTATCTGCTGAGATGTAGCTTAGGCTTCTACTTTCCCTTCCATGCCCCTCCTTACCCCCTCCACCCAGTGTCTTGGTTCTTTTGCCACTGGGCTTTACTGCAGGTAATTTGAAGTCTCTCCTTCTGACTCTCTCTCTACTCTCCTGTCCCCTCCCCAAAAGTCACTTCCTTGATTGCTTTATTATAGTGTCAGTATATCTTACCCACAGCTTTCCTGCTATGAACACACTACTCTTAGAGTGTGTTTCCTTCTTAAACTATTTATCCTGTGTTAAAATACATCCACTCGTTATTCACCGGTGGATCATCTGTCTTGTGGTCCTGAGGGGTAGGTCTTTTAGCCCTCATCCAAGTGCTTGGCCCTGCCAGGCGATTCTCTGAGGCCTCTCTTTTCATGCTTGTTGGGCATGAGAGCCATGTCCACCGAGTAGAGGCATGGGGACTGAGGGTCATTTGTTACATTCAGCTCGAAGAGGGCACGGCCTCTAATTATTACCACTACTTCTAGAAAAAAAATGTTATTCAGACAGACTGACTATTAGCCTTGAGTGAAAACAAGGACTTTACCTGGTGTTTTAGGTCAAAGTTCATCATGGTATAAAAAGCAGGATGGAGTTGAAAAAGACAGTAAGGCAGAGAAGCAGCAGGATAACTTTTCAACTCTCTCAGATTTGGTTTTAACCAAAACCAAAGTGAATTAGCTTGGCTTTTTAAAAACTATCATTTATATTCACAGAATATTATAACATCTTTGGGCTGGAAAGAGACTATCTGATCTAGTGGTTCTCAGCCCTTTGTTGCAGCATCTTTAGGGATATGACAGCCTCCCAAATAGTAATAGTAGTTTGCTCCAGAAGTGAATTTTGTTATGGGAGGAATGCAGTTTGAAAAAGTCCTACAGGTGATTTTAATATGCCACCCTAGGTTGACCATGTTCTGTGCCCCATATTGATACCTAATCAAAAGTATTTATCGAGTGCCTCCTGTTTATTCAGTTCTGTCCTACCCACTAGGAATACAATGTGGTCCTTATCCTCTGGAGCTCGCTGTCTCATAGGCATACAGACCACCTCCCCCCAGTATACAAATAATTATACTTTATAATTAGTGTTACGAAGGAAATAAGCAGATTTTGAAGTGAGAGAATACTGGGCAGGATTGTGTTTAGATTTGGACGGGGTGCCCAGGGGAGAGTGGCATTCCACTTCGGCCTGAAGGATGAGAAATACCTAGCCACATCAAGAGCCAGAGAAGGGCATTTCAGAGCGTGGGGAGAGTGTAAGTGAAGGCCCTTGGGTGGAAAAGGAGCTCAAGCGTTTTATAATGGCCTCAGAAGGAGGCCAGTTAGGCTGGAGCCCAGGGAGGGGTGCTGGGCTGGGGGAGGGAATGGAAAGGCGGGGAGAACAGTAGGAGTGATAGGAGAAAAAGAGGTGACAGGAGCTGGCTCCTGGGGCCTGGTGTTTGAGCTTTCCCCTCAGCATATTGTCAAGCTGTTAGACGACTTTCAGCAGAGTGCCATGGCCAGCTCTGTGTTTATAGAAGACTCTTGCCTGTGGTGTGAAGCATGAGAAGGAGAGGCCCCCATCTAATGCTCCTCTCCTTAGGTGCCCCCACTCCTTGCCAGATGGTCATCCAGGCTCTTCCTGAACAGCCCTGTGGCAGGGATGCACTTTATTGGCTGGGGGAAGGAGAGGCCCCCATCTAATGCTCCTCTCCTTAGGTGCCCCCACTCCTTGCCAGATGGTCATCCAGGCTCTTCCTGAACAGCCCTGTGCCAGGAATGCACTTTATTGGCTGAGGCACCCGTTCCATGTTCATGTAGCTATGTCTCAGAACATTCTTTTCGTGAGCTGAGATTTGTGTCCCTTTAGCACCCACTCGTAAAGATTGATTTTAGCCCTCAGAACAGGGCTGTTCCCTCTTCTAGGTGATAGCTCTAGGTCATAGCTAGTCATCTTCCCTCCAAACATACTCCTTCTCCTGGGTTTCCTGTCTCAGTAAATTCTCCCACGTCCACCCGGATGCTAACTCCAAGGGACCCACCAGGCATCGTTCACTGCTTCCTGGGTCTCCTTCAGCCCCACATCCAGTCAGTCCCTACATTTATAGGTTCTACCTTCTGAATCACTGTGGAGTCTGTCTACTTGCCAGCATCTCTGTTGTTGAAAAGGTAGATCAGGCTCCCTAGATTACTGCTATAGCCTCCCGTGTTGCCCCATTGCAGTCCCTCCTCCACACTGCAGCCAGAGTTATCTTGCTAGTGCATGTTCTGAACCCATCATTCCCCCCTTTACTGCTCCTCACAACCTGCAGGACAAGCTGTACCCTCCACAGCAGGTGAGCCATGGCCTGCCACGAGTGGGTCCTCTGCTCACTCTAGCCGCCTAGCCTGCCACTCCCCCCTTCCAACTGATGGTCCAGCTTTGCTTTGCATGGTCCCCTTAATGGGTCACATTTCCTCTCACTACTGGGCCTTCACATCCACTGCTGCCTCTTTCCTGCTTTCTTCTTTTAATCCATTCCCTTCTTCGCCTTCATTCCGGCTAAGCTTTGTCATCTTTGATGAACAAAGATGTTATCTTCTTCTGAAAACTGTTCCTGATTATTGCCCACCTCCCAGTCTACGCCAGGTACTCCTTCTATGAATTCCCAATATCTCCCTGTGCTTGCTTTTACTGTAGTGGTTAGCACATTGTATTATAATCACCCCTGTCCCCCAATAGATTCTGTACTCCTCGAGGGCAGTGACTGTAGCATATTCCTTGTTTATTTTATTTTATTGAAGTATAGTTGATTTACAATGGGTGAATTTCTGTTGTACAGCAAAGTGATTCAGTTAGATATATATATGTATACATATATATATATATATATTTTGTGTGTGTGTGTGGTACGCGGGCCTCTCACTGTTGTGGCCTCTCCCGTTGCGGAGCACAGGCTCCGGACGTGCAGGCTCAGCGGCCATGGCTCACGGGCCCAGCCGCTCCGTGGCATGTGGGATCTTCCCGGACCGGGGCACGAACCCGTGTCCCCTGCATCGGCAGGCGGACTCTCAACCACTGCGCCACCAGGGAAGCCCTATATATATTCTTTTATATATTTTTTTCCATTACAGTTTTGAATGGATAAAGAAGATATGGTACATATATAAATGGGATACTACTCAGATGTATTCATTGTTGAATCCCCAGTTCCCAGCACGATGCTTGGCACATAGGTGATAGTCAGTAATGCTTGAATAAATGAGTGGACAAATGAATTTGTATTCCCTTTAAATCTTGTCTCTGAATTAAATTCTCCAAACTCATTCAGCTTTTCTGATAAAACGTTATTTCTGGTCCCCTCACCCTTTTACTCTTCTTTGGGTATCTCAGTGTCCCCTTAAAATGTCATTCCCAGATTACAATTGTATCACATTTAAATTTTAAAGTGTTTTTAAAAGTGATTTTTGGATAGTTCAAGTAACTGTGACCATGCAGATAAATAAAACATTGAGGGACTTCCCTGGTGGTGCAGTGGTTAAGAATCCACCTGCCAAATCCTAAAGATGCTACCAGAAAACTACTAGAGCTAATCAATGAATTTGGTAAAGTAGCAGGATACAAAATTAATGCACAGAAATCTCTTGCATTCCTATACACTAGTGATGAAAAATCTGAAAGAGAAATCAAGGAAACACTCCCATTTACCACTGCAACAAAAAGAATAAAATACCTAGGAATAAACCTACCTAAGGAGAAAAAATACCTGTATGCAGAAAACTAAGACACTGATGAAAGAAATTAAAGATGATACAGCAGATGGAGAGATGTACCACATTCTTGGATTGGAAGAATCAACATTGTGAAAATGACTCTAGTACCCAAAGCAATCTACAGATTAAGTGCAATCCCTATCAAACTACCAATGGCATTTTTCATAGAAGTAGAACAAAAAATTTCACAGTTTGTATGGAAACACAAAAGACCCCGAATAGCCAAAGCAATCTTGAGAAAGAAAAATGGAGCTGGAGGAATCAGGCTACCAGACTTCAGACTATACTACAAAGCTACAGTAATCAAGACTGTATGGTACTGGCACAAAAACAGAAATATAGATCAATGGAACAGGATAGAAAGCCCAGAGGTAAACCCACGCACATATGGTCACCTTATCTTTGATAAAGGAGGCAAGACTATACAATGGAGAAAAGACAGCTTCTTCAATAAGTGGTGCTGGGAAAACTGGACAGCTACATGTAAAAGAATGAAATTAGAACACTCCCTAACACCATACACAAAAATAAACTCCAAATGGATTAAAGACCTAAATGTAAGGCCAGACAGTATAAAACTCTTAGAGGAAAACATAGGAAGAACACTCTATGACATAAATCACAGCAAGATCCTTTTTGACCTGCCTTCTAGAGAAATGGAAATAAAACCAAAACCGAATGGGACCTGGGCTTCCCTGATGGCACAGTGGTTGAGAGTCTGCCTGCCGATGTAGGGGACACAGGTTCGTGCTCCGGTCTGGGAAAATCCCACATGCCGCAGAGTGGCTGGGCCCGTGAGCCATGGCCTCTGAGCCTGCGCGTCCGGAGCCTGTGCTCCGCAACGGGAGAAGCCACAACAGTGAGAGGCCCAAGTACCCCCCAAAAACACAAAAACAAAAACAAAAAAAAAGCCAAGAAACCCCAAATGGGAGCTAATGAAACTTGAAAGCTTTGCACAGGAAAGGAAACCATAAACAAGATGAAAAGACAACCCTAGAATGGGAGAAAATATTTGCAAATGAAGCAACTGACAAAGGATTAATCTCCAAAATTTACAAGCAGCTCATGCAGCTCAATATCAAAAAACAAACAACCCAATCCAAAAATAGGCAGAAGACCTAAATAGACATTTCTCCAAAGAAGATATACAGATTGCCAACAAACACATGAAAGGATGCTCAACATCACTAATCATTAGAGAAATGCAAATCAAAACTACAATGAGATATCACCTCACACCAGTCAGAATGGCCATCATCCAAAAATCTACAATAAATGCTGGAAAGGGTGTGGAGAAAAGGGAACCCTCTTGCACTGTTGGTGGGAATGTAAATTGATACAGCCACTGGATAACCGTATGGAGCTTCCTTAGAAAACTAAAGATAGAACTACCATATGACCCAGCAATCCCACTACTGGGCCTATACCCTGAGAAAACCATAATTCAAAAAGAATCATGTACTACAATGTTCATTGCAGCACTGTTTATAATAGCCAGGATATGGAAGCAACCTAAGTGTCCATTGACAGATGAATGGATAAAGAAGGTGTGGCACAGATATACAATGGAATATTACTCAGCCATAAAAGGAAACAAAATTGAGTTATTTGTAGTGAGGTGGATGGGCTTTTAGTCTGTCATACAGAGAGAAGTAAGTCAGAAAGAGAAAAACAAATACTGTATGCTAACACATACATATGGAATCAGAAAAATAAATTTTTTTTTTTCTGAAAAACCTAAGGGTAGGACAGAATAAAGATGCAGATGTAGAGAATGGACTTGAGGACACGGGGAGGGGGAAGGGTAAGCTGGGACGAAGTAAGAGAGTGGCATGGACATATATACACTACCAAATGTAAAATAGGTAGCTAGTGGGAAGCAGCCGCATAGCACAGGGAGATCAGCTCGGGGCTTTGTGACCACCTAGAGGTGTGGGATAGGGAGCGTGGGAGGGAGACACAAGAGGGAGGAGATATGGGGGATATATGTATATGTATAGCTGATTCACTTTGTTATAAAGCAGAAACTAACACACCATTGTAAAGCAATTATACTCCAATAAACATGTTTAAAAAAAAAAAAGATCCGCCTGCCAATGCAGGAGACGCAGGTTCGAGCCCTTTTCTAGGAAGATCTCACATGCCGTGCACCACAGCTACTGCGCCTGCGCTCTAGAGCCCGTGAGCCACAACTACTGAGCCTGCGTGCATAGAGCCCGTGGTCCGCAACAAGAGAAGCCACTGTAATGAGACGCGCACGCACCACAACGAAGAGTAACCCCTGCTCGCCACAACTAGAGAGAGCCCGTGTGCAACAACAAAGACCCAATGCAGCCAATAAATAAATAAATAAAAATAAAACATTGAGTAAACTGGGGCACAAAGAAATTGCCAGGATATATAAATATAATGTTTTACCAGACAAAGTTCATAGCCAGATATTGACATAATGAATAAAATCAGTTTTTTCCTCTCTTAACACTCAGAGCATGAATTGGTCTTTGCCTTAGGTGGATATGTTTATTAAACTGAGCTTACTAATCCACATGGTGTTCCTAAACCATAATTACTGAATTCACGTCCCACTGCTAAGGCACGGCCTTTCCTAAACATTCTGGCTTTCTGCTTCTATAAAATTAGGATGATTAAATTTTCCATCTATCTACGTCTGGTGCTAAGAAGATTGATGAAGTTGTATTAAGCAATCACGTTTTGTTTCTTGGATAAAAGGTGTTTTGTAAATGCAGTGAATCAAAATGTTATTATTTCAAGTTGCATGACATAATGGAATATCTGTGGAGAAACATTGCCTGAGCATTGTTTGGTCATTTCTGTTTTTATAATAATTGCAAATATTAAATTGGGACCATTTATGGCAATATCAGCGTCCAAATGTTTTCCAGAAAAAAAAAGTATGTGTGTAAGACAGACAGACTTTGAACAAGGTCCATACCTTAGTTTTCTTTATGTATCAGGAATAACTTTCCCCCACAGGGTATACCCACAGCAGGATAGTTACTGTGAGGATTAGATCAGGATACTAAGTAATAGCATTTAGCACAGTGTGGGGCACATGGTCATCACTCAGGAAATGGTAGAGGCTAATATTTTGTTTTCAACTGGACTGATCTTAATCAGTTGTTTATTTTGGGGGGATGTATTTCAGCTTTAGTCCCATTCTGCAGTATTCTTTTTTTTTTTTTTTGCGGTACACGGCCTCTCACTGTTGTGGCCTCCCCCGTTGCGGAGCACAGGCTCCGGACGTGCAGGCTCAGCGGCCATGGCTCACGGGCCCAGCCGCTCCACGGCATGTGGGATCTTCCCGGACCGGGGCACGAACCCATGTCCCCTGCATCAGCAGGCGGGCTCTCACCCACTGCGCCACCAGGGAAGCCCTCTGCAGTATTCTTAATTGCCACTTGAGTGCATGAATTCTTAGACTTGGGAAGATGTTATTAAAGTTTAGAATCATTGGCTGAAGGCATGTTTTATAAAATCTGGGGAAAATAGAGACTAGGGCTCCATAGTTTGCATTTGACTGTAGCAGAAGTTTAAGAAGTATTTAAAAAATAATTATAACTTGGAATGGTGAGTGTGGTCAAACTTGAAGTCTGAGGTTTTCTCAAATATAACTTATTAAAGGTACCAAATGAGTGTGTGTGTGTGTGTGTGTGTGTGTTACTACCATATAATAACAACCAGAATAATGACTATCATTTATCAGACACTTAGTATGTTCCAAGTCATTGGGCTAGGTTCAAGAGTGGGAAGGAAATGGAATATATAGAGAGGTGAGTAAGATGTGGTATCTGTTCTCAGGGAGCTTCCAGTCTTGGGAGAGGGTGTGGTGGGAAGAAAGGTATCTACAGATAACTACCAAAGGGAAGAGAGTTAATTTGGCAGATGGGTAGAGGGTTAGAGTAGATGGATTAAGGATAGAGTTAACAAGCTTTAAATTTCAAATTAGAACATTGATGGGAGGAGGTATTATTTTATGCACCATTCTGCTAACTGGGTGGATGTGTACAGGTATAACTCATTATAAAGCTAGAAGGACTTCACAGCATCTTTTGGCCGCTTTCCCTAAACTCATCCACATAAATGTTTACATAGTCATAAATGTCCAGAGAAGAAGATTTCCATATTTCTTACATACCTATGGAAGCTGGGTTTCATACCTACAGGAAAGGAAAGGAAAGAGAAGGCAGCTAAAATTAATTTAATACTTACTATGTGCAAGAAACAGGTGCTAGGGCTTTTTGTAATATTTAATTTTCTTGGTTACACTATAATGTTGATATTTCCCCCATTTTACAGAAAGGGGAAATTGAGGTTCAGAGCGGATAAGTATTTTGTTCCAGAGCACACAGCTAGTGAGTGCCAGGATTTATTTCTATTACACTTTTATTCCCCAGGAAGCTGAATTGTAACTCTTAGCTATAGTACAAAATCAGGACTTAAATTATTTTATCTTTTGAAGTTCTGTAATCTTTGTTTGCTGTGAACATTCTAAGAGTGCATTGTTAAGTACTTGATATTTAGCAGATGACAGAGTCCACATAAAATAACCACTGTAAGGCTACTCAAAGGCAGCATAACTAATAGCAAAAAGAGGTCTCTGAAATAGTCCATACAATAGCCTAGCTTCATTATGACAGTAGGCTTTTTTATTGCTTTAGATTACTAACGGGGTTTCAGTCCCTTATCGATACCTTTGCCATTTGGCCAGTTACTTTAGAAAATATTTTATGTAGGGAGAAGGATGTAAAGAGTAGTGTAGTCTATGTCTACACCTAAAACAAAAGTGTGTTTTAGTCTGGAATTTTCAGTAGTGTTCAAAGGTGCTGATGAACTTGCCATTAAAAACTATGTCTTTTCTTTTCAGCTTGAAGAAGTCTTCTGCTGAACTGAAAAAAATATTAGCCAATGGCCAGGTAGGTGTCATTACATATTAAGACTATAGTAATAACTTAGTGCTGTCTAGTTTTTGTATCCATAAACTTAATAAACAGATAAAGGATCTATAAATTTCTTCTTGTCATAAATGAATTACACGGCTTAATTTGATTGGCAGAACAATTTGCAGCACGTTTTTCAAACTGTGCTAATGGGTTTCACTCCCAGCAGATTGAAGTACCATGCACACACCCTGCTGCCAGCTCGGTGTAAAAAAAGTTAATCAGTTCTGAACAAGTGTGTCAACCCATGGGCTGTTGAAATGGCCCTGCATCCTGAGGCAACTGTTTCTTTCTTTACCTTTAGGGAGAAAAAGAGAAACTGCTACTTTCTCACCTTAGTTCCTTCTTTTGTCCTGAAACTAACACTGGCTTTTTAGGGGAACAGAGTCACAGCAGACCTTTGGCATTTAAAATTCCTGGGCTTCAGGAGCCCTCAGTTTGCCTAGTTGACTGGTCGTCTAAAGCAGAATGACCTACTCCAGCCAGTGAGGGATAAACAGTCCTGCAGCCCAGTTATTTCTCACTAATTTTGATTCAAGTAAATTGACACATCTGAAATAGTATAATGCCTTTAAACATACACTGGTAAATTAAGCTACCTGCAGGGTCCTCGATTCTTCAATAGCAACATAAATGCGTTTTAATGTTTGTTATAGAGGAAGCCCTTTGATAGCCTTGGAGGCAGGCGCCTGTCCATTGCGATCAAGCCTGCCTATTAGGCTCTATTGACTGAGACATCTGTGTCACCGCAAATAAAAGACTCTTATTGATTTTCTTAACTGCTGTTCACTTCCCGTCCATGTTTCGAAGGCTGAAATCTTAATTATCTCAGATGCTCATTCAGTGCTTTCACATGCTGACCTCTCCAATCCTCATTGGCATTTCATGAATCAGGTACTTGTAGTGGAGCATGTCAAGAAGACAAAGCTGGGTCCTCATGCTTGTCCTTTAATATCACCTGTAACTTTGTGGCCCAATAGATGTGCATGCCTTAAAACAAGGACTGTATGGTGGTACTTCTGGAAGCCTTACTTGTTTAGCCCGTAATCCCTTGAATACAGTTAGAAAAAGTGAGTTGATCTGGTTTTGACACCTGATCATCATCTGTAGTGTGTGAATTATAGTCCTTAACTATTCAATATACGGCTAAGGAGAATCTGGTGTTGTATGTATATGCAATATATGTATGTATGTTGTATGTATAATCTTAATGGTCCCCATATTTCATATTTATCTAATAGTACTTTTAACTTTAAGCAGCCAAAGTTTTGTTTAGATTGAGGTCCACATACATGTTCGCCTAGTGCCCTGCATGTTTTCGGAAACATGAATCAAAACCTGGTTGCCCTTTTCTCTCCTGGTCACTGCCAAACCCATTATTGTCCTCTTGTTCTCCCTCTTCTCCCCACTGGAGGGAAGCATACATGGTTCTGCAGGTGTATTTCTTACATGTCTCCAGCACTTGGCGTTAACGTGACTAAAAGCTGAAATATTGAGCCTACGATATTCATGTATCTCCAACATGTTTGCATCCAAGTTACTAACTGTAATTTATGTGTGAGTTACTAGTGTTCTTCAGCTGGAAAATATATTTCAAAATTGACATAAATTAAGAAGCTTTAACTACATTTGTTCAACCCAGGCAATGGAAAATAACCTGTCATAGATTCCTCTTTCAAAAATGAAAAACAGTTTATTTCCAGGGCAAAAAATAAACATTCTGAAATATTCCTAGTGTTCTGAACCTAGTACCATAAATATCTTAGTGGTCTTGGTTAGGAGATTCTCTTTGGTGGAAGATTGTCATGGCAATGATTTTTGACACTTAAAGATTGTTTATTGCTTTCCCTTGGGAATGTGATAATCCCACATTAAACAGTATGGCATTTCCTTTCTTTTAAGGATTAGCCATTGTTATGTTTACTTTTATTCACAAAAACGAACAGTACAAAACAAAGAACTCCCACCTTTGGAAGTCTTCAAAATACCTCCTCCTCTTAATTCCTCAGTCCTTGGTGCTATCAGGTAACTAAAGAGTGAGTGAGATTGCATTGCGGTGAGGTAATGTGCACAGTGTGGCATCAATAAATTTGTGGGCTGAACACTGACACCACTTGATATGGAAGATGTAAGTCACATTTAACGATACCTTAACACTTGAGCATAGTTTTTTATTTTAGTGGTTTATGCTCTCAAGCATTAATAATGATTTGCCTTTCCACTAGCCTCCACTTAGATTTAATAAGGAATTCATATTAATCATTAAAACAAAGGGACATGATTCTTCAAGATAATCAAATATTGACAGGTTAGAAATAGCTTTCTGCCTGGGTTCATTGATATAGGTTATGTGATATAAATATTTATTTCTTTTCTGTCACTCAGAGTAAATGCCACCAATTGATTCAGCATTGATATAGTGTCAACAGTTCATAAGAAACATTTGACTGGCTTGTGTTTTCCGATTAGTCTCTGCTCTATAAAGTGGGATTTACTAAATCTCTCCAATTGTCTGCTCATAGAGTGTGACTGCTTTCTGAAACTATTATTGCTTCGATTTGTGAAGCAAAGGTCTGGTGATAGGACTAGTTTCTGTCAGACCTTTACATATAAAATAAGGATTAATTGAGCTTTTTTATTTTAATGATTTATAAGCAATAGGTACTGATTCTTCTTAACACAGGCAGACAATAAAGAATATTTTCTTTGCTGATCTATAATTGAATTCCATTTCATTTTCCCCATTAATATCGTTAACATTATATTAAACACTTTAAAAAGTTTAACATGTAGTCTTTGGAATGGAGACATTGTTCTTCTGTAATTGCTTTGTGAGGGAGGATTCCTTTTTCCTAGCTTAAAAAAAACAAATCATAAGGTATTTTTGGCAAGTTGTACTGAGAGCTATAAATCAGCACCACTGATGTGTTTTCTGGGTGTGTTTTTCCCACTTCAGTTGTAGTGCAGTATCATCTGTTTAACATTGGCCCTTGATTTGAAACTGATTAGAAATGGCCCAGTGGGTCAATTTAAAGGATTAAAAAAGTGCAGTCACTCCAAGGATGTATGACTTTGACCTTTGCATCTCTGAAGTTGTCTTTCCTCTGTTTGTTTTTTATAATTTGTAGGAGAGAGTGACGGTATTTTTCTATTTCTGGTAAATCAAGTATAAATGTACTGTGAAGTCACAAAACTAGAAATATTTCTAATCCTGCCTCATGTTTGGCTGTTATTTTGAGAACTTCAGATGCCTTTAAAAAACTTTGTGTTTAGAAAAAAAAAAAAAAAAAGAAGGAGGAAGAAAAATAGTATTCAACTGTAAAGTTAGCTTTAAAGAGTGTCCTATTACCAGTACGTAAAACTCTTAGATTCTTATGGTTTGTCTCAGATCCCATACGAAGACCTAAACATAGATGAATGAGACTGTGTAAGTCCAAACTGCATGGCACCTCCCCTCCCCGCACAGACACAACCTTTCCGCCCCCTGGGGTGTCTCGTCCACCTTCTTTCACAGCCCCCACCTCTCTTTCAGCAGCAGCAGCAGAGCCCAGTGCCAATCATCTCTCCCAGGTCATTTGCCGTTGCGGCAGTTGACACGTCATTGTAACTCTCAGGGTTTTTTCTCCCTTCTCCCTCACATCTATTATTCTGCCTTTCATTTGCTTTTTTTTTTTTTTAGTCCAAACAAGGAAACTGATTTATATTTTAAAATTATTTGGTATCTTTATTGAATAAAAACTTGCTTTTACCTCTTTTTTATCTGAAGAGCTATGTGATTTCTCTTCTTAAAAGCAAATATCGTAGTTGATGAAATCGCTTTTAACTTTTGAGTGCCCTTCATTTGATTATTTTCCTTCCTATGGACCAGGGACCAATGATGGAGAGGATGTCCCTCTGTACTTACACATGAGATCAACTGCTAAGATAGAGCACTGAGCAGAGTAACCTGAAAGACTGAGTTCTCACCTTGGCTAGTTGCTATTTACTAGTTATATGACCCAAACGAATTGGGTTATATGTTTAAAATGTTGTAAAAGTGTGTGATTTTTATGATACTTGATCCCAACTGTAATATTTAAATGTTGTACTTTGTAGGCTTATAAATCCCACTTTTGTATCATAATGAGTATTGTTCCTATGCTTCATTTTGAAAAGTTGAATTAATATGCTCTTCTAAACTAAAAAGGCAGATATGTTATTAGCGACTTGTTGATCCCTTTAATGATTTTTTTATATTTAAGATCAATTAAAGTAATCCATTTTGATTAGATATACAAAATTCTCAAAATTCGTTTGTGATCAGTTTATAAGCTTGACTCTAATAGTTTTCCTTTTTAAAACTTTTTTAACGTGAATAATATTTGAATATTCTATAAAAATTGGAAGATTCAAATAAGCAAAAAGAAAAAAGATCTGATATATATATATATATATATTTTTTTTTTTTTTTTGCGGTATGCGGGCCTCTCACTGTTGTGGCCTCTCCCATTGCGGAGCACAGGCTCAGTGGCCATGGCTCACGGGCCCAGCCGCTCCGCAGCATGTGGGATCTTTCCGGACCGGGGCATGAACCATGTCCCCTGCATTGGCAGGCAAACTCTCAGCCACTGCACCACCAGGGAAGCCCCTGATATTTTTAAATAGAATAATCTATCAATCAATTTATAGGCCAGGCAAATGTCTATACAAAACTTTAAAACAGTGTCGAAACAGTTTTTTTGGATACTGTCTTTTTGAGTGACGTGGTTCTAGAACTTATTTTTTAAAACCATTTTTATCTTTATGAGACTCTTAAAATCTTTCTCATTATCTGAGGGATTCCAAATTTCCACCCTTGAATTTGCCTAAACATTGTGTTAGCGTGCGCATGCCTGTGCGTGCACAGCACCCCCCCCACGCCCCATACAGCGCCCACAACATCATCCCCCATCTCTGGAGCGTTCAGCTTATCCCCTGCCTCTTTTTTTTTTTTTTTTTTTTTTTTTTTTTTTTTTCATCTACCGCTCCTGGTTAGGTTGGAGTGCTGGGTGGGTGGCTGCTCCACTTCTCTTTTCAACCTAGTGGGTATTAAAGTTAAAAAAGACTATGGTGTTGGGATTATAGTGGTTGAAGCTGCTCAGAGACCTGCCCCTTTGCATTTACTGCCTCCAACAAAATACCACAAAATCAAGCCCCCTCCGAAGTCCTAGTTTTCTCACATTATATCATTGGAATGTGTAATATCAATGAGTCTTATGTTTATATTTTTCTAAGAGGAAACTACTGGTCCTTTTACCTGGAGTGGTGGAGGTGGAGGGAATGTAATCACAGGTTGTGACCTCTCCAGAGCCTGGATCCTATAGCTACATCCTGCTTACCCTTAAATTTCAGTGCCACCGATTCAGAATTTGTAGAAGTTGAGTGAGTAAAATTTCTCCTAGAAATTTACTTCAGGCTGTGATGAGGGTGCAGCTTGTTTGCAGCTTGTTAAGCAAGTTAATAGTACAAATTAGGTTGTTAGAGTCATGTTTGGACTACCTTGAGGAATGTTTTCAAGGAATTAGCCTGTTTGTACCTGCCAATAGATACTCCATTTACATATGTATCCCTTATACCCTTTGATCAAATCAAACCCAGTAGCAACTCTGCTAGTTTATTTGGTATCTCAACTTGATGTGCTACTTTTCTTCATGCTGTTTTAAAATTTGTTTTTTGGTCCAGAATAATGAGATTTTCTTTTCTTGCTTCATGCCACAGAATTTCCCTCAAATAGGAAAATTGTTGCCAATTTTTCTGACATGTCTGTCATTTTGCCTCTGACCCTAAATATAGTAACTAGCTAATTGCAAATTGAGTCAGTCAGGTTTTACTACAATTAAATTGGGTGCTGAATTGGCCTTTATACATTAATCTGTCAATATTCTTTTAGGGTTTGGCAGAATGGCTTGGAAAGGAAGCTGTTTCTGTTATCTGCACTATGTTCCTAATTATCACAGCTCTCTGAAGCTTCAACCTCAGAAATGTATAGACAAAAATATTTCCCTTGATAAATGGAACCTTGCTTTATTCCATTGGTGGAAGTTCAGAGTAGAGCAAAATATTTAAAGCTTTACTATAATGGTCTGAAAGCAAACTATTTTTTTCCAGGTGATATTGAATTAAAAACTCCATCCATTTCCTGCCCATGTAAGGCAGTGCAATTCCCTGGAAATTGATTTTTTTCAGGGCTTACTATGGCTTTTCTCAAGCTTTAGCTATATGGAAAATAACACCTTTATTGAATCCACTTAGTGAATAAAGTTGGCAGTTAATTTTTGAGCAACTGGACCAGTATATAGAAAATTACTGAATGCCTCAAATAGAATCTGACTAGTCTGAAAGTCATTTGATAAATAATTATTTAGGGAGTTCTTTCAAACTCGAAAACATTATTTTTTGGGTACTAAAATAGTTCACTTCTATTCACGATTCAAATGAGAGTAGTATTTGTGGTATAATAGTTTTACAGAACCTGGGAAAATGCACATACTGTTTTATATAATAAATTACAAAAATGACTTTATATGAATCACATGCCTATCTATTTTCCTTTTATGCATTATAATATTTGACTATATGTGCATTTTAAACTGCATTGATTTAGCACTTTTCCATGAGCATAAGATTTCTCCCCAGCTATTGCTGTGTACTAATTTATCATTTTCAAAAAAAGGCTATATCGGGCTTCCGTGGTGGTGCAGTGGTTGAGAGTCTGCCTGCCGATGCAGGGGACACGGGTTCATGCCCCGGTCCAGGAAGATCCCACATGCCGTGGAGCGGCTGGGCCTGTGAGCCATGGGCACTGAGCCTGCGTGTCTGGAGCCTGTGCTCCACAATGGGAGAGGCCACGGCGGTGAGAGGCCCGCGTACCGCCAAAAAAAAAAAAAAGTAATAAAAGGCTATATCTACTCTAGGAAAATCGTTAACATTATTCAGTTAGTTTGTTTAATGTTAATTAGAGGGTCCCTTGAGGAGTTTTCAGGGGCTGATTTATTTACAAATTGTGCATCGGATTACTAGAAGTGTGTGTGTGTGTGTGTGTGTGTGTGTTTTCTTGCCAAGTTTGACTTTGGTTATGTGCAGTGCTGTTTGGCAGTGGTTATGTAGTGCTGGAGACTGTGTTCTTATCAGTATCTCTGACCTGACCCTTTTGAGCTATGTTATATCATTCCATTTTGACACCTTTTATCAAACTTTAATGAAATGACCCAGGCAAACAAATTGTCATTAAACTTTCCATCACTTTGTCCCTTGGTATCGTCTTTTATAAATTGGACAGCAAATGTTGTATTGATCTTCTCGTTCTTGCAGCTGAACTTGAAATGACCCAGACTGCTTGTTGTTTATGGCCCAGAGTTGCTTTTCCTTGACATTTCTATCCACAGCATGACACCCTTTTTGTTTTTCTTTCTTTCTTGTGGAGATGAATGAACAAGACATACGGTATCGAGACACTCTTGGTCATGGCAACGGAGGCACAGTCTACAAGTGAGTAGTCAATTTTGTTTAAACTTTCTGTCCACTTTTGCCAAATGTGGGTATCCAAGTTCTCCATGGCAAAGATTTTTAAATGACCACCAGTGCTTAGATTTTATTTCCACATTTGACTCCAAAATTCTGCAAGGAATCTATTTTCTCAGGAATTGCTTGGAAAAGTGCATTTATATTGCCTTTTTAATATTTCTGAGTCTGCATCTCTCCTGGGTGAGCATTTAATAGTCCACCATTAGCAAGTATACCTTTAACCGGCCTGAAGTTTAATGTATTTTTTTCCTTTGCTCTTTAACACCGTTATTTTTATTATTTTTTTAACTTGCTAGCACCCTATGCTAGTCCCCTGCCTGCGTACTTACAGCTATGCCCAGTGGAAGACAAACCTTATAAATACCATTGCTTTGCCCTGTGTCAACACTCAATTATTAAAAAGCCTTCTTCCTGTTGTGTTTCCTTCTCTCCTCACCCTACTCCCTGAGAGAATTTCTACACATTGATGAATATGTTGTTATAAAATTCTCCCAAATTCCAATTGCAGTGATCTTACCCTAAAGAAGTGTTCATTTTCATATTAAAAAATGCTAACCGTAAAAAATAGTTCTCTCAACAGGGAAGTCTTTCTCGTGCAGTAGTGCAAAGTTTAAACTACATAATGTAATGTCTGGTACTTAATAGTCTGCAATGGTGTATGAAAAATATTCCACTAGGAATTAAAAAATCCATACTCTGTAAGAAAGCCCTGAGGGAGTAATAAAGCTTTCCTCCAGAGAGCTGTTTTCCATATATACACTAACCCTGCATCACATTATGATTGTGTTTTTACCTTAGATGTTTTACTATTGATATTAATATATATTTTCAAAGTTGTAAATCATTTATGTTTAACTGGTTACTGATTTTCTTAGAATTTTAAGTCCTTACTAATGATGTGAATACAGATAAAAATTACCCTGTTGCAGAATCGCCCTGTTGCCCATGAATGCGAAAGGTCACATCCTAAAATTCCAGAACATCCTCCACACAGATACAGTGTTGGCATAGAATCAGATTTCTCAGGGTTAGAAGCTCCTTCAAAGTTATCTGATCCAGTCCCCCACCCTGGGCTTCAGTCCTCTCTGTAGATAGAGCCAGGATGTGAGTCCTTTCTCCTAAAGTCCTTTAAGAACGTATGCTTACATATTTGGATTGTTTTTTCCTATAGATAACTGACTATGGTGAATAGTTGGTCTGAAAGTTAAGTGCTTCCACTATGATAATTCAGAGAATTAAATATAACACATTTCTTTCACAATCCTTGGGTCTTGCCCTTAAAGTGTGTGATGCCTCATGTGTCTAAAAAGTTTGTTGTCCTTCCGTGAATCATACTAGCATTCCTTCCCGTGCAGTCCCCGAGTACTGCATAAATAGCATCTCTTCGTCCTAGTCTTCTCTTCCTTACTCTTATCTGACTTGACTTTTTACCCTTTCCTGAAGGTTCTTGGGTTCAGATACTTTTAGAAATAAGAAGGAACATGTACACTCCAATTTACTTCTCTTGAGTTCCCTGGAGGGAGCGGTTTTCAAAGTCTCAACCTTTCTTTTTCTTAATGCTTTTATTCTGGTGTTCAGGTGTAATAAAACAGAAAAGATGTCTAGCAACTCTTTTGACTCCTTTTATTGGTCGAATAGAATCCAAAAACATTTCTTTAGACTCCTAACCTACTTATTTTTGTTGTTTCACCAAATGTTTGATTCTCAAGCATGTTTTTATTTTTAAATTGAAGACCTATTATGAATTTACTATCCTAGTTTATTCTAGAAGGGAGAAAGCGTAAGACCACCAAACCCCAGCAGATAATTTTTATTAGAAATAATATCCTAGATATTAAAATTTTAACCTTTTATCTTAAAACAGGTTCATAAAAAAAGGGGAGAGGGGATACAGGGAAGTGGAAATAATATGCCCATCCAGCAAGGAAAAATTACAACATAAAATTATGTTAGTGTTGTTTTTCTTTAACTATTATTCTTAATTGTGGTAGAAACACATAACATAAAAATTACAATCGCAGCCATTTTTAAGTCTACAGTTCAGTGGCATTAAGTACATACACACTGTTATGTAACCATCACCACCGTCCATCTGCAGGACTCTTTTTGGCTTGCAGATCTGAAACCCTGTACCCATTCAACAATAGCTCCCCATTCACCTGGATTATGTTGTTTTTAGCTAAGAAGCATGGCTAGACATTTTCTTTTTATTAGGGCCACAGTATCCAAGGGGACGTCTTTAAGCATGAGTTCTTCAGTTTGCTAGGATGTTGCGGTGACATTAGCGACTTATCCTGGGTTCATTGAGTTAGCTACCATTGCTGATGCTCAGTATGTATTGTAAGATTTAGTATGTTTTTTTTTTTTTTTTTGCGGTACGCGGGCCTCTCACTTGTGGCCTCTCCCGTTGCGGAGCACAGGCTCCGGACACGCAGGCTCAGCGACCATGGCTCACGGGCCCAGCCGCTGCGCGGCATGTGGGATCTTTCCGCACCGGGTCACGAACCCGTGTCCCCTGCATCGGCAGGCGGACTCTCAACCACTGCGCCACCAGGGAAGCCCTTAGTATGTTTTTGACAGTGGTTGTTTACAGAGGGTGAGTGGCAGTATCATGATCATGTTAGTACTTTATTTTATGTAATAGATTTCTTATAAAAAAGAAGACATTTCACTTATTGCCTAGGTGATTCTTAAGGGGAGCGACATGAAGATATCAAATTGAATAACCACTTATCATTGATCATTGGTCTTCATTTCTGTCTGGGTTTCAATTTGTGTTGTTCTTATATCCCTGGCTTTTAGTTCAGCACAAAGAAATGGTATAATCATCAGGAAATGAAAAGCCACTTTACTGAAGTCTCTATAAAACTAAGTGTTTGGTGTGTTATGATTGACTTTCTCCTATACTAAGTTTACCTTAATGGTGTTGACTATAAAAACTGTGATTTTTCAGTCAAAAATGATTACAGTCTCTGCTACATAAACTAGATGAAGAAAATATTGGAAAATCCACTGATTGGTAGCAAAACTGCCTAATGGGCCTATTTAATTTTTTTCTTTTAAAGAATAATAAATGTAAAGCAAAAGTTTAATGTTTCAGTCTTATTTGCTCCACTTGATGGGATGTTGTGTGTCTTATTTGCTCCACTTGATGGGATGTTTCAAGGGGTATGATATTGTGTAACTGCAATATATATTATTTAATAGTTGATCACATTTTCATCCTTTAAGTCTAGATGTTCTCCTCAGTTATACAATATGAATTTCTGAGCCCAGATATTTAAACCAAATGTGGATTCTGTGTGTAGTCCCCTGCTGCGCTACTATTATGATATTGATCTCAGCAGGTAATTTTAAATTGTGGTATCTGTTGGATTACTAGTTTGGATGAAATAGATCATAAAGGAAATACCCTAGACTAAAGTATAGCCCAAGCCTAGGAAGAAGAATAATTTAAGAAAAGGAATTGAACGCACTTTAATTATTGCTCCATTTCCCAGAGTGCTACAAGTTGCTCCACAAAAATAAATCAGGAAACACACATGTTCTATTCCCTTCTGGTAGATTCACGATATCGGGGAAGTAGAGAACAATATGTGTTGTGGTTAAATGTGGAGGCTCTGAATCTGAATCCTGCACCTGCTACTAACTAGCTTGTGTGACCTTGGGAAAGTTACTTAACGCCTTCTCCCTCAGTTTCCCCATGTGTAAAATGGAGATAGTAATACCAATACCTATCTTATAAAGTTACTGTGAAGTTAAATGAGATGTTTCATAGAAAAGACTTAGCACTGTAACTGACACTTACTAAATGTTAGCTACTGTTTGTGATAGTACCAGTGATAGACAAATCGTTAATCCCTGGGCTTCCTGTGCTTGGCCATGGGATTCTTTTTTTGAGGAACATCTATAAATATCTCACAGAATTAAAGTTGTGTTGAATTAACTTTGAGAAGTTCTACATTATGTTATGATACATCATACACTTCTTTGTTTCCTTTTATTCTCTAGTTGCCTCATGAATATGATTTATTATTATTAACTTAAATAGAATGATTCTTTTCAGAGTTTCAAGATATATTCTCTTTTATCATAGTTAATTTCAAATTGCTATAGGACAGCTGGTATAATGGTAAGTACATTTTTCCACTGGAAAAAGCTAGAGCTCACATTCATGTGGCAAAGCCAGCACTCTGCACAGCATCTCGTCCTTTCACTCTGTTTATCCCCAAGGCAGTGTTGTTTCTCAAGGTCAAGCAGAGTCCATTGTGTTTCCTTGTATTTTCTAGTGTACCCAGCACTGTCCTAAGGATAGAATAGATGCTTTATATGTGTTGGCTGGAATGAGAATGAGGCAAGTGGAGGTTTTTTCCAAGCAGGTTTTAGTAGAGCTCTTTAATTGGATCCTCCCCATACCTGGCTAGTTTTAGAGGCTGCATAATTTTGAGACTGTGTAATTGTTTTAGAACATTCACTGAGAAGAGTAGGGATTTCTAAACTAAGGGCATATGTTTGAGTGATTAATTTTCTTTCAAATGTTAAAACTTTGAGTATTTGGTATCCATTAACCCAATATTCTAGTTACTGTCCGTTTTTCTTGGATAGTATGTCACGTGGAAATGAAAGTAATTAATAGGCCCAGTTACTTTGGAAATATTCTGTGATAAAGAAGGCCAGTCACTCAGGTCCTTTGCTCCTTCAGTGCATTGTTTGCTGGAGTCACATAGCTTTGGGTCCAGAAATGAAGTGGTATCTAACTCTTAGGATTTAGGTCGTGCTAAGTCAGTTAGCCAGCAAGCACTTAAGGATCATCTGTTATGTTACCTTTTTCCTTAATGTAAATTATTCAGGCTAAGACTCAAGTTGTCAGCTTTCTGGCCATGTATTCTAATCTCTAGGTGTTGGAAAATATTAGTGAACTTTCTAAATCCAGCTGCTTCCCACAGTACAGTTAAGGGTCTAGC